TTTGACGTTCAGCTTTAATCTTTTGCAGATGTAGAAATTTAAACATGCGAGTAATGTAAAAGGTGTGATAACAAAACATTATAAACGAAGTAACAGGTAAAAAAAAAATTTGTCGGCTGTTAGATCTAAAACAATATTAAAAATCGAACTACTTAGAAAATAAAAATACCTTTGTAACCTGTAAAATACTCGATATTCATTTCTACTATTTCTACTATATAAATTTATATGTGAAATTGACGTGTTGTTTGTTATTGTAAACATTTTTTACAGCATAGTGGAAATTTGAAATGTTACACTAATTTTTTATATTGTGCAACGTAGCTTTACAATAAACGGCAAACATTCTGGCAATAAAAAGTAAGTGATAAAATGGATTTGAATTGGATCTGAACTTGATCTCCAATTTAGAGAAGTTTCAGGAGCAACGAGTTCTGTATGACATTTCGCGTAGCAACAAACTTCCGCTATGCTATTTTTTACCAGGTCCGTGTTACGCAATCGATTTTAATGCACAGGTCACGAGGATCACAGTCCAGAAAAGTCTTGGTCAATTTTCTCTTTTGTAAATAAAAATTCTTCCCAAAAGTTGTTTTTTTTTTTTACTCAATGACTTTGAAAAAAATCTATCTAATGATCCGATATTAGAATAAAAAAAAAAATTTAATGGTCACAATGCCAGTTTCCAATTGCAGAATGCCTTTACATTGACACTTTGAAAATTGACAGAGATGTTGAGATGTTATAAATGAGTACAAGAGGTTAAAATCAAAAAGCAAAAAGGGATTAAAAAAATTGAGTCAATGATAATTTTTTCCTTTGAAAAAGCAAAAACATAACTGTAATGAGCAGTGGCATCAATACTGCAATATTGTGTTTTATCCTTTGAATAATTTTGATTAACTAATTTTCTTTGTTCTTTAGCCAATGAGAATTGTTATTCGCACCTCCATTTTTGTCATTCGCACCCCTCCCGTGACTAAGACAAAGATGAACCAATAAAATCATCACATTTTAAAGCCATTCATTGGTCACATTACTACACTTAGTCACGGGAGGGGTGCGAATAACAAAAATGGGGGTACGAATAACAATTCCCTATTTTTATTATAATAATTTTTTTCTAATTTGGCCTTGGACAGATGTTATTTAAATCCTTTGAGTAATTCTTCAGCTTCTTCTTCTTGGCGAGCATTGTAATGTAAACCATTTTGAAAATGTTGGCAAGCATCACACAAGTCAGTTCTTGGACTCATAATTTGAATCTCTGGTGCAGTTGATGTCTTAATTTTCTGAAGGCATTATATTTCAAAGATTTCAATTTGCTATCTTCTTCTATATCAGCCAGAAAATACCTGTGCGCAGATTTATGGCTCATTTCAGATGGTAAGAATGTAACTTATTGAGTTATTCTATTGTTACTTCTCCCTGGGCTTGGCAAACCATGAACTTTAACATAATTTTTCAGAAATTCTTTACTATTTCTGCAACATTTTTGTCAATCACCATTTTAGTTTTACATTGAGGCATCTTTTTAATATTACCATGAACTCTTGTTAAAAGACCATGGTTTATCAGATGATTTCTGATAATTTAAAATAAGTTCTACCAATCCCTAACATATTAAAATAAGTTCCTTGGCAAAGGAGTGTAGTGAAAAAGGACAGGGGACGGATTTCTGCGCCTTCACCACGCCACACCTGTTACCATCCTTTTCTAGTATTAATGGGCCTTGAAAAGGACGGTGTGTTGAACCCATCCCCAGTATCCCAAGAGAAATTGGGAAAATTTGGTCAACCTCCCCATGAAAAATAATTATGACCTAGCTTATCATCATTAATAATCAAAATGAGAAAAGACAATTTAAAAAGCAAACAATAAATGAAATAATAACAAGTTAATAAAAAATTGACTACCTTTACCAATGAATTTTTCCATACATTGTTGATCATAAACAGAAAATGTTATTATTGCTTTAACAAATCATGTGTATTGATTTATATTTTTTATAAATGTAAAAATTTACTTAATTTCTTCTGAATAGATTATAACAAGAAGATTAATTATATTTTTATTATTTATATATTATTATATTATTATGTATTTTTAACATAAAAAGGATTATCCTCTAAGAAGTTTTACAGGCTTTCTATTTTAGTCCTTGTTAAGTCATACACCCAAGGTTGCCAATTTATGTGTTCATAATTTACCCGAGACAAGTACTGATAATAGAAACATTAGCCTTATGTACCAACTTTTAAAATATGAGATACAGCTCACCACATTTTGTTGGATAAATTCTATTTCATAATTTTTTTGTGTAATCCAATAAATAGTAAAAGTAGAATTGATGATTAAAGAAATAATTAAAGTACCTGCTCAAAAATACTTATATAATTTATCTTGTTGAAAAGTAACTCTATTTTTCAAAATAATCAATTTTTGAAACTTAAAAAAATTAATTTGATATAATGATTACATTAAGGTAAAATAACAATTTGTAAAATGTTACCTACAAGAACAAAAAAAGTTGTGACTTTAAATTAATACAAAAGAATTTTAAATTGCGTACAAACCTATCCCCGTCAATAAGATTACAAAAGTGCACCAATGTATTTAAACATTGCTTGATTAACCTTGAAGCATGTAATGGCGTGATTGGTCCAGCCTTGGATTCCATGCAATTTTTTTATTGTATATTTTAATCATTTCCTTGTATGTAAATGACTCTATATACTAATATTCATGATGGTCATGATTGTTATTCAATACATTTGATATCATAATTGGCATAACAAACAATTGCATCACCCAGGTGGTAATAACATCAAGGCCATGCAGAAATGAAACTTTTAACAATGTGTGTCTACCCAGATCTCTGGGATTCACAAAATAAATTATTTTTCCTGATTATCAAATTATGGTTTCTTATGGATAATAAATCTGATGTTAATTGCAGGAGTCAGATTTAATTAAAGTTTCCTATAACAAACTTTGCACAACGGGCGTTTACACACCGCCCCATTCCTATGAAATTTTTTCCACAGGTGAGACACTTGCAATTTTGAAGCCTTTGGACAAAACTTTCCCTATCTTCTCCTCAGACCAGGCTGGATGTTGTCATATGAGCATTGATGATTGGCATTTGTGTGACGATTGCTTTGAGTCCCTGGTTGCTATTTTTATTGGTGGCACGCCTACTCACCAACAACCCTGCCCCCATTTAAAAAATCAAATTCAGTTGATCAAATAAAAATTAAAGACAAACAGAAAATTTGGGAATGATTAATTTATATAATATACCAAACGAAATTTGATCCATTTTGTTTTACGGCTTTCCTCCTAACATCAGGGCTACCAACCTGTTCTGAATTTGCGACTTCTTGTGCTTGAAACGAGTTGCAGATCCTCGTTGCTTTGATGCTTATGCTTGGTTGCAGAGCCATCCTTAGGATTGTTGCGGGAAAACTTTTGGGCTTTCTCACTGGTCTGGTGCTGTGAGGGAAGATTAGTGAAAAAGTCATTGACGATGATGAACCCTTTGATAAACCCCAGAGCCATGCCCCCCACCCCTGGAACTCAGCGCATCATTGTATTCATCGCAGGGTGCAGGTCAGATTAGCCTTTTGAACATAAGGAAAATCTGAGAGAATGACTGTAAAGTGTTTCAAGGTAGCATACACTTGCTAATTTTCCGATAATTAAACATTGCATATCGCAATGTTTCATATTCAATGGTGTGCTGTAATTAAATATTTATAATAATATTAATATTATTACTGATTACGACTACAAAAGGCAAAATACCATTCATTTACCATCTTCGTAAGGATCTTATTTCCCAGCAAGAGTTGTTCCGCATTTTGGTTTCAATTAAAATATTTATAAACTAAAGAACATACATATCATCAATACAAGTAAAAAAAAAGTACCTCTGGTTAATTATTATCGTGCCAACAAAATCTCGCTCGTCTTAAGGTTTTCTCAGCTGGGCACAACCGATAGCGAAATAACATCGTTTTGTCATTGAAAATATATATTGTTTTAAAATAAAACAAAGATTCCATATCGGGGCTTTATTCGTAATACAAATTCTTATTCGACGTATTACTTTGCCGACAATCACTTTGCCGACAATCATTTTGCCGACAGTCATTTACCGACAACACGTGGCGCGCCATTTTAGCATTTTATTAGTTGCTTGATTATGTGGAGATTAAATGTAAACCCCGAGTTGTCGGTAAAATGAACTGTCGGTAAAATGATTGTCGGTAAAAATGAATGCCTCCCCTTTAAAAATTCGAATTAAAAAATCTATTCGATCTATATATTAAAATTATTCATTATAACAAGATAATATAAACAATAATTATATTTATAATCTATATTACTACTATAATTGCTAGTATTATGACTTAAGGAAAATGTTAGCTACTACTAATTATTATTATCACTATATTCAAGGACTAAGGAAAAATAGATTGATAAAAAAATTTTAATTGGATTGAATTATTCGAACTATTATTATTAATTTTATTACCAAGATAATGATTTAATGCTAATTGGTTTGTTGAAGAATCATTCCTTACACGTTTAATTGATCTAACAGAAGTAGAAGTTCCTGAAAAAATATTATCAGTATTGCCTAAAACAATTGATAAAAATATAGATAGAAACATGTAAATAAATATATATGTACATATATAAAAAAGAAAACTCTCATGTATTAAATTGGTAAATATTTACTAGATCTTTTTGTGATTCTTTTTGTTTGATTATTTCAAGATGATTTTCTACAAATTCAATTTTATCAGAATAGCAAGCTTTAAAATTTTCACAATCTAACAAGTGTTTCCCGATGCTGTTCACAGTGTTTGAAATTTATATAAAACTTCACAATAATTTTATCAAATTCTTGGAATTCATCTTTCTTTATGCTTTTTGGTGATAAAGCGATCACTGTTTTTGCCTCAACATCCTCAGATTTATGACACCATCTGCTAGGTACCATGTTTCACTAGATCTGAAGCAATCTGAGAAGTCATGTGAACTTCCAACATCAATTCCACCTTTATCAAAGCAATAGAATTTCTGACTTTTCTTGTAATATTTTCACATTCATACAATAGTCGGATCAAGAAATAAACCAAAAAGCACGATTTACCTACACCTGATGTTCCAGTGACAATGAACTTATGACAGGAACCAGTTGATGAATTATTGATCAATAGATGATAAATGTCCTTGTATTCTTCTCTCACATATAATGCTGGCCTATTAATAACTGGGAACGATCTGTCATTAGGGCTCTTTATAATATTTTGTAAATTCATTTCTGAGATTTCCCCCAATTCTTCAGGTTTTTAAAAAAGGATACACAAAATGTAAAAGTTAAGAGCCAAATATGATAAACTTGATAAAATATTTGCAAATAATTGTTACCTTTATCTTGTGATAACTTCAATTGCTTCACTAAATCAATGATATTCTCGAATGATGGATCTGATAAGTGAAGAAAGATAATAAAAAAATTGTTAGCTCACAACACATTCTACACATCCTTGTTATTAAAGCTTACCTATCAATTTTTCTTTGTTGGGTTTAGTAGAAAGAGTTCGTTTTTCTGGTAGATTCCCTTTACCTTCAATCTAAATATGTATTAGAAAATTTGATTTAATTGATGAAGAGTGAACCTTTTAACTATATATATATGAATATAGTGTAAAAGATATTTGTAAAAAAGCAATCAATAATATGAATGTATTTAAAAACAAACCTGCCCTCTAAGTCGAATTATTTCTTTACTTAAATCATTAGATCATTTCTTCAATTAGTACGATTCAATTCGTAATTTATCTGATATGATTTTGAATTTTTAATATATCTCGTTCTCCATTTACTTCATTCAATACGGTTTTAATTTTATCATTGTCTACACTATTTTAAAAAAAATCAAAATTTATTACTAGAACTAGAGTGACGACGAGTGGTGATAACCACCACCATCCTTAAAACACTTATGCCTTTGCTTCTCCTTTATTGTCCTCTCTGTTTCTTTTATTTTTGTTTTGTTTATACATTTTGATTAAAAGAAAAAATAAAAATTAGTTAAAAAAACACACGTAAATAAAATAAATTATTATTATTGGCACTTGGTGTCGCACAAGGACTGTTTTTGGGACAGACGCGATATTTTTCTTTTTGGAAAAACAATCTTATTTTGACAAGATGACAAAACGTGGTTCTCCTAAAGAAGACGTGTTAATGACAGAGGTACACTTTTTTTTTAATTTGCATTGTCTTTTTTGGTTATTATAAATATTATAATTGAAATCAAAACGTGGAGCATATCATTGCTGGGTAATTATAAGATCCTTGTCAAGATGACAACGAATGAACGATTGGCATTTTGCTTTGCATAATCAATAATATTAATATTATTGATAATAAATAATTACAAGATGTCAAGGCAGCACAACTGAAACAATTCAATATGCAATGTTTGATTATCGAAAATTGGCAGATGTTGAAGCACACACACTGCCTTGAACACTTTACAGTCATTCTCACGTATTCCTTGTGTACACAAGGCTAATATGACTTGCGACCCCTCGATGTTACAATGATGCAACTGAATTCCAGAGGAAGGACGCAAAGCCCTGGAGTTTAGCAAGACTGCGCCAATTGTTAATGACACTTTCACTAATCTTCCCTCACAGCACAGCATAGTGTACATTTGATTTCATTGGCTAAATTATGTGACGATCTCCCTTCCAGATATCATGCAAAAAATAAAGTCACATGTTTCACAACATAAAAAAGATCAATGATCGATTTTGTCACATGTGATAAAACGAATGTCCACTATGCTGTGAAAACCTTATTTTTTTATTATTGCTATTTTGTTATCATTATCATTATTATCATTATTTCATTATTACTATTGTCACCAATTAAATTCGGGAGAGTGTATTTTAATTGGTGATAATAATTGTTTTTGTTTTGTGTGGATCAGAATGAATAGGGGATCAATGAATTGATTTTGTTATTAGTGAATAATTTTGGTTAAAGAAGATAAAAGTTTTAAATAAAATATTTCTATTTTATTTATTTAGTCAAAACTAATTAACTTGTAAGAAAGTTGCTTTTGCATTAGGTCGAAATCAAGTTCTTTATATACATGTTCTTTACATATTGGCCCAAATTGCACAAATCTGCCTGTTTTGAAGAATCGTCACCAATCTCCACTAAATAAATATGAATGTGCTACGGATTGATTAATAATAATTAAATATGCAAAACGTAATGCGAATTCAGATGATAATAGAATTAATAAAAAATATAAATAAATAAAATTTAAATTGTCCCAGAATTAAAAGATTTGACCAAAAGATCTGTGTCAAAATCTAATTCCAGTAATATTTTCAATTAAAAAAAAAAACCACAGCATAAGCATAAATTAATTAAATTAATTAATAATGTCAAAAAGAAGAATTGAGATTGACAATTACAATAATTACAATGACAATGATAAAGTAATTATTTTAGACAGAGAAAGCACCTTTTTAGAATCTGAAGAGAGTGTTTACATTGAACCTGAAGGAAATATTAACAATTATAACAATTATGATGATTGTGGTAATGACAATTATGGTGGTTGTAATTATGATAATGATGATATTGATAATGATAATGATAATGAGCATGATAATGGTGGTGGTGATGGTGATGGTGATGGTGGCAGGATTAATTCTATCATGACCATTGGTATTTCTAAGAATAAAAGTTCAATATGGACACATTTTGATAAACAAATGGATGAAAAAGGCATAAAATGGGCTAAATGTAAATATTGCTTGTAAGTAATTAAAATAAATTGCATTACTTATTTTTTTTTTAAAAAAATTACTAATTGTGTTAATTATATTAAATAAAGACATGGGAAATATAATATGAATAGTGGCTCTACTTCAAATTTAAGTCATCATCTTAAGAATCATAAAAATAAAATTGATGTTAATGTAAATAAACCATCAATGATGTTGGGCAGTAATAGTGAACATATTGTGTGTACTGTATATATTTAAATCAATTAATATATCTACATTTGTAATTTTCTTAATCTGTGACCCGTTGACCCGACGGGTCGGGTCGGGTCAACTGTTTAAAAGTTCGAGTCGGGTCGGGTTGAACCACTGACCCGACTCGACTCGTTCGGAGCTCTATTCTTCCCCTCTATAAATGCATCCCTCCATAAATGCACGCTTTCATCCATTCCCAAGGGGGTGCACTTATGGAGGGTTCACTATAGAATATTGTTGACGTTAGATTAATGGAATTTGTTTTGTCAAGATACATTATATTCAAGATTTAAACATGAGTTTATTTAATAGATTTGATGATAATAACAATGGAATATCAAAGGCTAACTAATATTAGCTAATGAATCCCTGGGAGAAATTTATGACACAGTATGTGAATTTTTTCTTAAATAGTATCAGTTGGTATTTCTATGACTATATTGTAAAAGAATTATATTTAATTAATTTATTTATCTAGGATTTATCTCAATTCATTTAGGATGTAATTATTTTAAAGGTATTATTTATCTCAATTCATAAATCGAATTATTATTAATTTTTTATTTCAAAAATTTCAACCCATATTAACTCAAAATCTTACATATTTGATAATAATTCATTTAAGATATCAATGGGGAACCCTCAGAATCTAAATATGAAAATGACTTCAGGATTGCAAATATATTAATATTTATATCAATTGGTGTGTTTTCCGTTCTATTATTAATATCTGTTACTAAATGGGTTGGTTTTTTCTAAAAATTTTAATTGCTTGATTAGAACATGATTTATGATTTAATTATCAAATTGTTAAAAATTATCAAATTAAGAAAATTGTGACTTACTTAATAGTCACTAAAGCCATTTGTTTATGGTGGGTATGAGCTTCTAAATATTGTAATGATTAACATTCTAAAATAGTGTTTACAATACAATGTTTATCATTTTGAATATTAATCTAATACATACATGTAATTGTTAATAAAATAGTCTTTTAAATTGCAACACATATTTTTTTTTTCATGCATACCTTTGAATATATATTATATATGTGTATATATAATCAATTTTATTATTGAAAAAAAAAATAAAAAATATAAATTGTATATATAAGATATTGTGAGATTGTAAACCGTGGACCAACCAATTGACCGTTAATATTGACCAATTATAACGAACTTACTACGGAAGTCATGTGATGCGCTGAATATTACATCACGATTAACAATCATCTTTCTATATTTATTGCAACGGTTGCACGTCATGTTACACATGTAGATCATTACATCATTTCTATTTTTAACTTATTTTATGACATAATTATTTACTTCGAATTATTAATCAAATTATTTGTAATAATGACTCATAGGATTAGTAATTATGAGTCAGAGCATTAGTAATTAGCAATTAGTAAGCTAGTAATACAGAAAATAGGATTAATAAGCATATTTTATTGGATAAAATATTGTAAAGGTCATGTTATTTGTAATACCTCAAGAGGTATAAAAAGGCTTGGTTTTAGACCAAGTGAAAAGGGAGATCGTGTTAATAACATTAATAATAATTGAATAAATAATTCCCCCCCCCCCGTTGTTAATAATTAAATAAACACATTTTACCTTATTACGAATTTTTGCACAGTTAATAGGAAAAGTCATTGTGAATTGTTCCATGGTCCTCTCTGATGATTAGTGGCTGGCCACTAATCATTAGTTAGAAACCCTTCCATTTGATTGTTCTATGCTGCTTGTAGGGACGCCTCAAGTGGTATAGTTGTAAATATTTCTTGTATATATTTTTTTTATTTATCATTTTTAGGCCAGCAGTACTTCTATTAGTACTATAAAGAGAGATTGCACAATAGAGAGGCTCTGAGCTGTGTGCCGTAATCAGAGGTCGGAATTGATAACCCTGAGCTGTGTGCCATAACAGGGAGATTTATATATTGGAATTTTATTTTATTTTATCTTATATATTTTATTGGACACAACCCGAGCTGTAATTGAATTTACACACTCGCAATATGCAAAAAAAAATTATTAAAATTTTGTAATTATATCTAAATCATTGTATCTACATCACCAAAAAAAAATATATATAAAAAAAATTAATCACTATTGTCATAGAACTGATTCCATAACTATATTTTTTATTACAATGTTATGGAGGTGGTGTAATGTATGATTGAAATGATTGTGTAGTAGTTGGTGAAACAGTTTGAGCAAGTGCTTGTGTATTAGTTGGTGAAACAGCAGCAGCAATAGATGTTTGAGCAGTAGGTGGTGATTTCAATAATGATAGTGATGATATCATCATTTGTACATGTTTACTTGCTTTAATTTATTAATAAACATTAATATTAAATAATATCACACTCAATGTATAATTTATAATTTATTTATATTTACCCATAAATTCTAGCCTTCTTATTTTGTATTTAACAATGGATGCATTTTGTGCTGTGAACATTTTATCATTTGAGCTGTCCTTCCACAAACATAAATATTAACTCCTTCAATAATATAATTATTATTATGATATTTTATTATCAAAAATTTTTTTTTCAGAAAATAGTCATATGTATAATAGTCTTTATAATACTTGATGATTTGTTGGAATTTTTTGATTCTTCAATGTATACTTTTATGACCTGCTTCGTTGTTTATTAGTAGTGAGTGTTATGACTATTATTATAATTATTATAAAAGTTATTATCATGCGTGAGTGCTAAAGGTTCCTAAATTTCCAAGGCCTCCATCTTTGCACACAGCTAGGAGCCTTCCAAAAATACTCTATACTGCGCAGTTCCTACTCTACAGTACTAATACTAAGTACTGTTGGCAATTAGTCTAAGATAAGTTAATGTAATGATCTACATGTATAATGTGGCGCAATGTGTGGCGCAACCGTACAATGAATGATCGTTAATCGTGATGTAATATTTAGCGCATCACATGACTTCCGTAGTAAGCTTGTTCTAATTGGTCAATATTAACGGGCAATCGGTTACAATCTCACACTAGTGTAAGACTAGTATTGAAATTTTTGTGCATAACTACATTCATTATTAAAAGGTTGTTTTGTTTTTCTGCTTATTGAATGAAAACCTAAGTAATGGAAAATGTTAATCAATTTCATTTAGTATTAGTCAAGCCATTATTAAATATCTAAGGCTCCAAACAGATCAGATTATGGTTTCTTGCCAAAACTCCTCCAGAGATCAATCAGCAGAGTTTCGATATGTTACACATTTATTTTTTCTCATTTTGGGGTTTTGACAATTGGAAGAGTTTTGGCAAGTTAGATGCTAATTGTTTATTAGAGTTTTGGCAGAGTTTCACAGTCATTAAGAGGTTTTGGCAAACAACCTTAGATCAGATCTTGAATCAGATCAGATAGAAATTCTTAATTCATAATTTCTTTCATAAATATTTTTTATGAATTTTATTATTATTATTTATACATAATATCTCAAATTAGATCTCAGATTCCAGATCAGATCAGATTCCAGACCAGATTCTATCCAATATTTTAAAGAACCAGATCGGATCAGATTTTTTCCAAACCTGATCTGATCTGTTTGAAGCCTTATAAATATCAAATGCTAATGATTTACCATGATAATGATTCTGCAGAAAGGTGTTACTTCATATTTATTGGTAAATGCATATCAATTTTAAATTTAGGAAGAATTTTTGAAAGAATTTTGGAGGGGTTACAAGCTCTTGCTAAATGATATCATTATTAGTACCACATACATAGATTCTTTAAATGGATCAATTGATACTCCTTCCTAGATAGGCATAATAAGCAAAGAAAAGCAAATACACATCATCACCAGTCCACCTACATCAACTCCTTCTTCCATCCATCATAGCATTTTCCTATGGATACTCCGAGGTGAACTCATAATTTGACGCAACTGATGGAATACTTTTCATTTATCTTCATCTGATAATGTACCCCATTTCCAAAATAAAAAATGAAGACCACATCAAAATTAAAAAAAAAATTGCAATAAATGTAAGTTATCTTTATAGTCTTAAGAATATCAGAAGTGTCAGGACCAATAATGCCACCAGTAGAAGAAGGAAAATATGATGGTTTGCATGAACATACTTGGGAACCACCATATTTTCCAACCAAGTTTCTGTGAGTATGGTACCAATTGCCAACTTACACACTAATTTCAACTTCTTTTCATCTAAATAATTTTTTTTATCTTTGGCCTTATCACACAGAAAAGCAAATGTTACAACTAAATGAAAGTCAAGTGATACATTTCATGACTTGGAGGCATTATTTCAAGTTGATCTTCAATAAGATTAATTTGATAACAATGAGGGGTTTTGAGTGCAACTTTTTCAAATACTGTTGAATGCAATCGGGAATAATTATTTTATGACATTTGGAAAAGTACAGTCAGTTATATGTATTTTTCAATTTATTATTATAGTAATAATTATTACGTGATCTGAAATCCTTAGTAGTACAGATGTTTGCTTTGCTGGTATGCTCCTTATTCATTTAGATTGTGATTCAAGAAAAGGATTGGGAGGCTTTATCTATCCACCTATTCTGCCTCTTGCAATACAATGAAGAGGGTCAGTTGAAACTTAAATTACTAAAGTTTTATTTGGTGAGAAAAAATATTAATATATATTATATTGTGATACTTGATATTCTATTTGAACAAAATGAACAAAACAAATGGTTCAGAGAGAACTAGGCGAAAACTAACAAACAAAAACTATACATGATGGTAGACAACCTGGCACCTCCGTGTGGTGGCCAGGGGACAACAGATATTGGAGCAATTTTATTTTATTATGAAGAAGCACTGATATTTGGCTAAGCAGTTAACTACCGTGCAAATATATTGATGTAATTGCAAGTCTGGCTTGGTTTGGCAAAATTCCAGGTTTTTGGGATATTTTATGAATATGCAATTACATGTAAACTTGCAGGTTTCCATGCATCGTTGGTATTTTATTATGAATTATCAAGATAACAGGTACACACATACTTGGCATGGTTAACCCCATGCTTTAAATGAAGAGCAATGGTTATTGATGCATGGTAACGGTTCTGGGTTGAATCAATCTCGTGCGGTATCAATATAGTTGCAAGTCAGGCTCATCTGATAAAATTTGAGTCTAGGCGATTAGAACATTTTTTCTGGGCAGGTGTATGTACATGTACTCAGTTGTAAACCTAGGTTATTAAATAGGCTGCTATCTTTAAATGAGCAACTATCATTGATGCATGATAATTTTAACCGTTTTGGTATAGCATTTATATAGTTGGGTGATGTACAATGATCATTTTAAACATGAGCTTCAGTTGATCATTATAACAATAAATTTATTGTTGGTAAAATAATTAACAAGTACTTTGGATTCTATTCTTTATACAAATGTATGTACGAGTATAATTCTACATTAATTAATGAAATTTCATAATTTCTAAAAAAATAAACATTCCATAAATAATGCTAAATAAATAAATATCTTTTAAAATTTTTTTTAACAATCTAATGATGAAGATGAAGATGCTCTTTTTACATGATTTAAATAAATTATGAATCTTCTTCCTTTTTTATTTAATACCATTTATTTTTATCTATCATTAATTTTTCGATCGGTTGACTTGTTAATATTTTCAAATAGTTTCATAGTAACATCTTTACCAATACTTTCAATTTCCTTTAACAAATTTTCCAAATCTTTCTCACATACTGAAGGTGAATTCACTACAACTCTAAAAAAAAAAGGTAATTCAACACCCTTTAGAATTGTTGGTGCATAATCAATCATGTATTTTCCATTTTCATAAATTTTTTTATGTATTTCTTTTGTGATCTTTGATAATTTATCTTTATACAACTGATGATTTAATTTTTCTAATTCCAATATTTCTTTGCTAGGTATATACCAAAAACAAGTTTGTAAACTTGGCGGTTCGTCCAATACCAATTTAAATTTTGAATTGTTTTTTTTTATCAACGCGACGAAGTAATTTGTCATCTGAAAAGCATGGTCGATACGACTACCATAACCTTTTATACCAAATATTTTCCATCCAATAAACAACTTGACAGCATCAGGTCTTCTACCACAACCAACTGTACCATCACTTAAATCATATTTATTGCCATGAAATAAATATTTTGCTTCCAGTGAATTGTTCTTTGAAAATATTGATTTATCTTTTGCGAGTAAAAACGAACATTGTAACGGTATTCCAAGCATTTTATGAGGATTGATTACTAATGTATCAGCCTTTTAAAAAATGGTTTGAATTAAAATAAATAATTAGTTAATCATGTGTTTTTTAATAAAAACTGAATGGAGATATATATATATATATATATAAACAAACCAAACTAGTTCCATCTATCAATTTTTTATATTTTTCTGAAAATATTAGGCTTGCTCCCCATGATCCATCAACATGAAACCATAAATTATACCTTTTAGCAATTTTCCCTATCTCTCTTAATGGATCAAATGATCCCTAATGTCATTATTAAATATAATTTAGTTGAATGATAATAATAAATATTCATTATAATTTACTAAAGTATATTAGCAAATAATACATACAAGTACTGTGGTACCGGTTGTTGCATTTACGAAGAATGGAGTTTCGTCACGTGCAAAGGATTGTTGGATTAAAAGCTCTAAAAACAATTATTTTTTTAAGTGAATATTCAATTACGTGATTATATGAAATATATGACACAACATGTACCTAATTCATAAACTTTCATTCTTCCTTGATCATCACATGGTACTTTAATCACACTTTCAGTACCCAACCCCAATGTCATTGCTGTCTTCTCAATTGAATAGTGACCTTGATTAGACGTGAAAATCATTAACTTCTTATTAAATCCAAAGTATCCTTTTGTTTTAAACTCGGGATATAAACTATTTCTTGCTGTTATCATTGCCAATTGATTAGAAAATGCCCCCCCTGCACATGTTATACCACCAGAATTCTATGATTATTTATTTTTAATATAGAACAAAAATTTTATAAATGTATTTTCTTTGAAAAAAAAATTTAAATAATAGTAACGGCAGTGATAAAATAATAATAGTAATAGTAATAATTACCTCGCCCATATCTAACAATTTAGCAAGATGTTCAGAAACAGAATATTCAATCAATGTGAACACAGGTGAATCATGATAAACATGAGAATTTCCATTCAGGAAAGCCATTAACATTTCTGATATGATTCCAACCGGATTAGTTCCAGCATATAATTTATCCATAAAACCAGAATGCCATGTATTAACACTATACTTTAATACTCTTATATATTTTAATGTCATAAATTTCTATATTAATAATCGCGTATTTTTTGGCAGTATCCACAGAAAACAATTTGAATATACACTGTGGGAGGATACAAGCTTTTTAATCATTAGCAATGTATATATAAACAACAACATATTATTATTTTAATTTATACAAAAATCTTTTTTGAAAAAATATATAATTAACTAAAAAAATTTTTTAAGCAAAACATTCCAATAATTTATTCATTATCCATTCATCCATCCGTTAAATTAAAAGTGTCATTTAAAAGTAATTCAATAGCTGCATTAACATTTCCACCAGAAGCTAATAATGCGCGAATATTTTTCTGTGCATCCCAAAAACCCATATCGTTCAATTGTTGTAATTGAACTTGAAATCTTTCTTCGGGTTGTTGTGGGATAGTTGTTTGTGGTGGAACGTCTCCCCCCAATCCAAATAACAACGATGGATCAATTGAAAAAAATGGTTGTTGTTATTGATTATTAGTGTTTAGATTCCCAGTAAGATTTATTGTGGCAGCAGGATTAAGAAGACTAAAAAAAGGATTATTAATTGGTGGTGGAATGGCGGTGGTGGGTGTGGTAGTGTCAGTCGTTGGTGATTTAGCACTATTATCATTATTATTGGTCGATGGTGTATTTGTTGTGTCAGTTGTAGGATTCATTGTGGAAGGATTTGTAGGAAGCATACTTGGACCATAACTTCCAGGGTTACCCATTAATGAACTTAAAGTTGCTGTACGACGAATTGATTCTGGATTTGATAATAAAGAATGAAATTCAGGATCTTGTGTTACCTGCCTAAGTTGAGGTGCCATGCTTGCAAGTTGTGGATTCATAGCAATTACATTATCTGTGAATTGAGGATCTTGCATTAATTGTACAATGTACTGCATTAAAGCAGAGTTATTAAGAATATTTTCCGTCTGATTCCAGTTTGGTATACTATTATTACCACCACCACTAAATGAATTATTAGTATTAGTACCAAAATTCCCCCCACCTAGTGTTGCACCAAATGGAGGTATATTATTTTGATCATGTGTTGATTGGTTATTGGTAGTATCTGTTGTTGTTGTTGGTTAAGATGAAACTAATAATGTTTTGAAAAACAAATCAATATGGTAAATAATAGAAACACTTGGCTTTTAATAAACATCTTGTTTTATAAAAACAATATAATAGAAAACATTTAACATACCACGAGCTAAACTTCTCACCATGTGAACTGTGTGTCCCTCAGCAATTTTACAGGTTTCAAGTGTATCATCATCTTTTAACACTTTACCAGAGTATATTAATCTTTGTCTATCTGCAGTAATGTCGCTTTTTTCTACAATAAATTGTTTAAATTCTAAAATAGTTTTTGATGTGTCTATAGTTATTGTATATTTTATATCATTAGAACACTTTACGTTATTGTCATTTCTGGCATTATGGTTTGTTTATTTATTTAAAAAAAAAAACATTAAATCGTAATATTATTTGATTTAGAGTGTTTTTTGTCCTAATTCATGACCGTTATTATTATTAGTAGTAATAATATTATAATGTGATCATTCCGAATTGGGGCAACCGAATTTCGGACGGATTCAATTTTGGGGCACAAAGTTTGACCATAGTAATAAGGTAATTATTAAAACTGTTGACAAGATTTTTTTAAAAATTAGTTAAACATAAAAAGAAAGTGCCAGTTTCAAAATGAGGTCAAATGTTATGATTCAAAGATATATATATGTATGTGTAAATTGTAAATTCTAAATAAAAAAAAACTAAATTTTTACAAAATGGCACAGACTTATAATGCCAGCGGACAATTCCTTGAGGAAACCTCAGGCATAGAACATAATATAAACACAATTCAAAAAAACATTGAAAGTATTCAAACGTTACAATCAGTTGTTCTGCTGAGTACTTCAGCACAACAGGAGGATATCAATATTCAAAAACGTGAAAAGCTTATGTCGAGTACCAAAAATCTACTTATTGAAACCAAAGATCGTATTAAAAAAATCGAATATGAAAATGTTAAATTACCAAAAGATGATCCAAATATCAACCTTAGAAAACAAAGATTTCAGTTTCTCAAAGAAAAATTTACCAATGTGCTCGACAATTATCGTGATGTTGAAAATACTTATATGAGACAACAAAAAGATAGAATGACACGTCAATATAGAGTTGTCAAACCACATGCAACTCAAAATGAAATCGAGAGTTACTTGAACAATCCATCAAGCCAACCGCTTTTTCAACAAGCTGTAACTACAGGTGAAGCTCGTGCAGCATTTGCAGAAGTTCAAAAACGTCATGGTGATATAAAACAGATTGAAAAAACAATCGAGGAATTAGCAGATTTATTCCGTGAAATGCAATTACAGGTGGAGGAACAAGATGCTATGATTTTAAATATCGAAGAATCTGTCGGTGATACCCTTGAAAAGACTAAACAAAGTAAATATTATATTTATTTAATCGCGTCTGATGTATATATAGATTAAAAATGCACGCTTGCGAATAAATAAATAAAATTTTTTTAGGTGAAAGCTTTCTTGAAAAAGCACGCGAGAGTGCAACTCAAGCAAGAAAAAAGAAATGGATCTTTTTAGCAATTATAATTACCGTTATTCTTATAATTGTAATAATTATAATAATGCAATTTGGTGTTAACGTAAGTGTACAAGCTTCATCTCCATCTGCAGTTACTGTGACAGCAAGTCCTTCCGGATTATTTCCTTCAACCCCCTAATAAAGCACATATATTCATATTGTATACTTACTATATGATTGATTATTCATATACCTTTTAATTTTAATAATTAATTTTTTTGATTTTTGTAAATTTTAATTTAATTTATTTTCTTTTCCAAAAATAATCCATTATTTAAATTATTTAAACAACCATTCAAAAAATTTCTACTTGACATTATTGTTTAAAGCATATAAATAAATTTTATTGATTTATAATAAACAATGATGATAAAATAAATAAATATGAAATATTATGCTATTAAATTAAATGAAGGAAAAACTTGAAAAACAATTGGTTAATGAGGATAATGTTAAATACATATATGGCAAAAACAATCAATATATTAATGAAGTTAAACTTTGAATATTAGAGTCATTGTTGGGGGGGATGAGGCAAAAGCATTTACGATTCAATTCGTAATTTATCTGATATGATTTTGAATTTTTAATATATCTCGTTCTCCATTTACTTCATTCAATACGGTTTTAATTTTATCATTGTCTACACTATTTTAAAAAAAATCAAAATTTATTACTAGAACTAGAGTGACGACGAGTGGTGATAACCACCACCATCCTTAAAACACTTATGCCTTTGCTTCTCCTTTATTGTCCTCTCTGTTTCTTTTATTTTTGTTTTGTTTATACATTTTGATTAAAAGAAAAAATAAAAATTAGTTAAAAAAACACACGTAAATAAAATAAATTATTATTATTGGCACTTGGTGTCGCACAAGGACTGTTTTTGGGACAGACGCGATATTTTTCTTTTTGGAAAAACAATCTTATTTTGACAAGATGACAAAACGTGGTTCTCCTAAAGAAGACGTGTTAATGACAGAGGTACACTTTTTTTTTAATTTGCATTGTCTTTTTTGGTTATAATAAATAAATTTTGAATTTAGTAATGTGTCGCAAAAAATAAATATTTTTGTAAAAATTTTACCAATATTTTTATATAGAATCACTCTATATAGTGAAGTTTTTTGGCAACTCTTTCTTATATCGAACGACTGTAAATCATTAAAAGGATTTTGCTGTTTCACGAAAGTAAAAGCATTGTATAGAATGATGAATGCTGAGTAGCCAAGTGCACATTTTTTTAAAACATAATTTTTGGAAAGTTAAATTTCAAGGTGTTTGTTATCGGAAATGTTTTTTTATATGTTTGGATTTTGATTCATGAGAATAATCATTCATTGCCTCTAAAAAAAGTTTAAAGGCGAGTTCAAATCTGTCCGGAGTTGACTATGTAACTATTGCTATCACCCATGTCAATGCTGGAGATTAGATGATCCGCCTTTTGTTAATTGTATCCAATGTACTTTAAAAATTCGGATTCTTTAGTATCGAGATTTGACACCCACATGATACTTCAAACCATTGGTGCATGTGTTATTAATAAACGACCGTTTTGTGTGATTAGTTCAGTCAAGGATATTACACACTAAATACCGTAATGATCAATGGTTGAAAAATTCTAGAAGAATTTCTGATTGTCTAAATTCAACCAGGGATAATACCCTGTAATGATCTGCGTTATAAAAAAGAAATCCTAATTGGCTAAATTCTGT